ATGGCGATTCTCCGCAAAGGCTCTTGTGTGCGAGGAAGGATCCGGTGTGAAGGAAGCAGCTTCCCAGGGCGGTGTTTGGGAGCAATGGGTTCAGGTGAAAGGAGGGGCCAGCCTTGGTTTTCCTTTTGGGCATGGTGCTGCCATAGGGAATGGCCTGAAACGCCTGTTCCTCCCAAAAACGGTGGCGGTCTGCCTGGGCTAGAAGCTACGGGAAGCTGGCATGGTGCTCGCCGCGGTGGTAAAAGGATGAACCAAACAAAAGCGCCCACCCCCGGGTGACTTTTAGCCATCAGGGTCTGCAAGGTGAAGTTTTCCTGGCTTGGGAACCCCATAAACCTGCTAGCTGCGCTCTCGTGCCTTCGTTTACTCCTAATTAATGTGTTTGCCTGTGCATGGTGTGGTTCAGGATTCGACCCAGCCTCGGTTGTGCTGCCGACGGCCGGAGAGTGGCTGCGTCAGACCCCCAGGGTGAGAAGGTAAAATGGGGGATCGCAAATATACGGGATTCCCCCCATTTTTTAAAGGGAGACCAGGACAGTGGTGGAGGCATCCAGGCAGAGAAAACCTTTTCTAATGGATCGGGGATTTATTCAGAAAATCTCAAAGACTGGGAAAGCTGGAGAGGAGGCAGCGCCTTTGCGGACGCCTTGGACGTGGCGGGATGCCGGAGCACCGGAGCTGGGATTTCCTGCATGGAGAAAGGGATTGTCTCGGGAGCTGTTGAGTTTCGCACCGGGCAGCCTGTCGGAAGCAGATTCAGGAGACTAAAATGGAAGGAAACGGCCACAATCGCCACCCGAAGCCAGTGAAAGTGGGAAAAACGGATCCACCCCACGGCAGCCCAGGCTCTGCCGCTCTCCCCGTGCCCGCCACAGGATTTTGGCATTGTCCCCGAGTCCCCTTGTGTCCCAGGATCATCCTCTCCTGCGGGATGGGGACGGCGTGCGTGGTGCTGGGGGTGTCACCCAGCTCCCCGAGGATTCAGCCTCTTGACTCAACCAACTTAAATCCCCTTTCAGATATTGTCAGCTTGCTTCTAGCCCGGTCCTGGGCACCAGCTGCCGTGAAACCAGGTGGTAGAGGTAGGCACTGGCTAAAGGTCGCGCTCGAAGGCTGCAGCGTCACCCCGAAATCCTCCCGGCGAGCATCTTTTGGGTTTGGGCACTGCAAGACGGCACCGCTCCTTGGGAAACTGGAGAAACGAGGGAGTTAACTAAACAAACCTTAAATAGTGGCCTAAAATGCCAGGCTTCCTCGCATTTGTTTTACTCGGCTGCCTCCACGTCCTGGTCCTGTGTGGGAGGGGTGTGCTTCCTCCCAGCCGCCTGCTTTTACTAACAAACAAATAAAAACTGGTTTTTCCTCTGCCGACGAGCTTTTGCTGGCAAGACGGCAGGGCTGGATCTGGACATGGCCACGCTGCCGTGGCTCGGTGGGCTCATCCCCGTGGTGGCTTCCCCCCGCCGCCAGTGTTCTGTGTCCCCGGAAAGGGGATTTTTTTGGTGCTTTTTTTGATGTTTTAAAGCCCGAGCTGCTTCTTAAGTGAAAGCACCGACCTGCTTGTGGTTTCAGGCAAGTTAAAGGTGGGTTAATCTGCAGCTTCATCCTCTTCTCTCCCTGGGGGTCGCACCCAAGGTGAGGAGGATTGGTGTACCGGACACCGGGGCTCACGCTCGAGCGGGAGCCTGTTTAAAAGCATCGCCTGACCCCCATGAATTGCAGCACCTCCTGGACCATGGCTCGCCGAGCGCTGGCAGATCCCCGGCAGCGGCCGTGAACCGAGCTCTGTCATCCGCCAAGTCCAGAACAAGCCGGTGGTTACGGAGATCAGCTGGATTTGGCAACCGCCGGTGGACTTGGCAGCTCTCGACGCTGCTGCCAGTGGGCAGGTGCCGGCATTGCCGTCAGTAGCCGGAGCGCCGAGGTGGAAATACCCGGCGCTACCGGTCTTTCCAGGCTGTGGCGAGGATGTTTTGGCAGGGGAAGGCTTGCTTCGCTCACCCCTCGATCTGCGGCCACTGCGCTCACCACGGGACCCAACGTGTAGGGGGCTGGACCCGGAGGACACTCGGCGTGGATTTAATGGAGGGAAAAAATCAGAGTTTAAGGTCATTAAGCTGTTTTAGGAACATTTTGTGTCACTAATCTTTCCCTGTGGCTCACGCTGGTGTTTAATAGGGTCCAATAGCTCCAACCTGTTTCTCTCTGGCTCTCATCCTGGTCAGGATATCGGCTGAGCCACGATGCTCTCGAGTGCGCTCGCTTTAGGCCTGGGCGTGGTGGTGTCCCTCTAAAGCTTGATTTATATTTTTTTTTCCTACCCCAACCCAGAAATGTCTTTCTTTCCCCTCCCGCTCCCAGGCCAGGAGGAGCAGGAACGCGCCTGTCGGAGATTGCACCGACTTCCAGCATCTGCTCAGCTGCAGAAATTATTGAAACAATTCAAAAAAAACAACGTGAAATTGTTGATTGAGGGGAGGCTTGCCAGCACTCCGGGCTCCCGCTGGGCAGGATCCTTCATGTACCTTTGAGCTTGGAAGGATGCGGGCATCTGGACGGTGTAAACAAGCCTCTATTGTGCCTGGCTGCGGGTGTTTACACCAGGAAAATCGACTTCAGGGTCCACCCTGGAGCCAGGCTTCCTCCGTGGCCGCGGCTCTTCATCCTGGGAGAGTGGGATGCGTTCAGGGATAGGCTCAAATACGCCGTAAATGAACAAAACTTGTAAATAAATTAACAAAACCGATTGCGTCGGGTGGCTTTGTCTTTGCAGCCTACAAAGAGACACCGTATAACTCGTCAGGCCAAAACTGACTTTAAATTTAATGCTGAAAATGTGCTGGCTGGGCTGCTAAGTTTAGCTTCAGCAGCCTTGACTTGTATTTTAGGCTCCTCGACCTGTATTTAAGCGCCTAAGTAAACAGTCTGCTGTTCTCGCTTGGGCTGAGCCCGGCTTTTTGCAGGTCAGGCTGTTTTTCTTGCTGGTTTATTCAGCTTGTAACTTAAAACGCTGCCTTAAAACCATGCTTGACCATGGTTTTAAGTGACAGCCTTTAGGTAAAAGGCTCAAGGAATGGTGTTAGTCACCAATGTCCGGCGAAATGACCTTTTCCCGGGTGTTGCTGGACCGCCTGGGCTTGCGTTCGCTACCAAGCTGCTTTCCTCATTGCACCTTGTGGTTTTTAAAAAAAAAAAATCTCCTGGCTTTTAATTGTGGGAGGGTTTTTTTTGCATAGTTTTTAAAATTAGGAGCATTACATCAAAGGGAGGACGGACGCAGCAAAATGTCTGCAAGACTGGGGCTCCCGAAATGTCCCTTCTCCTGGAAGAAAAATAACCCCCGTGCACATGACGCTGAGGAGGAAGAGAAGCGAAGCGGAAAGAAACAGGATTATCCCAGAGGGGAGAAGACCCCCGGTCCTGCCACCCCGTCGCGGCTTCAGGAAGACAACCAGAGCCATTGCGGAGAGCAGAGGGATGTCCCCGGCTGTCTCAGCGGGTCGCGTGAGCTGCCGAATCCCCGGCAGCAGCATTATCTCACCTCCGGGACGGGCAAAAGCCTGGCAGCACGTTGGTTGCGGTGGAAGGAAGCAGAGTCCAGCCCCAGCTGGGCTTGGAAATGCCTTTGCGGTGAGGACAGGCGTTAGCAAGTAATCCAAGCCTGCGTTGTCCCGTGAGTCACAGTGCTTCCCGGGGCTGAGCCGGGTCGCGTGGCCCCCACAGAGGCTCCTGCCAGGAGCAAGGAAACTTGGCTGCTGCTTTAGCATCCCACCAAAAGCACCCCAGCCCCCTCCGATACCTCTCCAAGAGGTGCTGCACGCCGCCGGCTTCCCTTTGATGGAGAACTTTGCGGAATCAGTCACCGGGGACCAAAACAGGACCTCTATCTGGAAGACGGTAATCGTAACCTAAATCGTTCCACAGTGCAGGGGCGCGTGTGAACGGTGTTGACCCTGTCTTGGCAACACGTCCCATGTGCTGGAGAAAACACCTTTACTTAGGGAGATTTTACTTGAGGTCCCGGCCAGGCACCTGTACGCCTGCCCACTGAGCTCGGGCAGACCTCCGCTCCGCTCCCTATCCGACCAGCTCCCCGTTGCTTTGGGGCAGCTGGAGATGGGGAGCCAGGAGGAGATGCTGGAAGGGGTTGCTTTGGGTTTATCCGTGGCCAGCTAACAAGTCCAGAGGAGCACGGGGTCAATGTTTTACCCATAGGTTCAACTGCTAGTGTTTAACTTCAGCGTAATGATCAATATCTGCTGGTTCCCCTCCCCGTCCAGGTGGGTGTTTTCTGCCCCAAGGAGGCTGCAGTGTGTCGGTTGAAGCCCTTGTGGGGACAGTTGCCCAACTCCGGCTCCAAACCAGCGCAAGAGTAATCGCAGTGCTGCAAAACACTTGTGAGATCAGCCCTAAATCCCTGGGTGCTGGGACACAGCGTGTCTGGGGAAGCCGCTTGTGGAATGGCTGGAAGGAGAAGAGCTGAGAAAATTGCCTGCCTGGGTGGTGATGAAGAGGGACGGCGGGCTGAGGAGCCGAAGCTCTTGTGGGATTTTCTTGTGTGCTGTACGGGCGGGCGGCCCGGAGCCCCGAAAGGCTCCCTTCGCTGCCCTGGTTTGCAATCGCTGCTTTCGCATTAAATAAATCAAGGCAGGAGGGACCTGCAAATGTATCTTCAAACACACAGCGACCAAAATGGGGGATAAGCGGGACTGGTGGGGGGATCACAAACGCAGCTGCGAGTTCGGGTGGGCTATAAAAACCCACTTGGACGGGGAGCAGCCTAATGAGGAGCGGGGCTTGCAGTCACTCAAGGTGTTTCCTTTTTGGCACACGTGCAGCAAGTAATTATTTTGCCAGAGAGCAAGATCAGTTCCTAAAGAAGGGGCTGTTCATTTTACGGCTTGCTGAGGTCCCTGGTGCACTGCCCACCTCTCCCTCCTCCTCTAGGCTTCATTTTTGTCCCTCTTCTTTGCCCCCCAGGTTTTCTAGCCGGCTTCACCATGTTCAGCAAGAAGAAGAAACGCATTGAAATCTCTGCTCCCTCCAACTTCGAGCACCGCGTCCACACCGGCTACGACCAGCAAGAGCAGAAATTCACAGGGCTGCCGCGGCAATGGCAGGGTATCATCGAGGAGTCAGCCAAGCGCCCCAAGCCGCTGGTGGACCCCGTCTGCATCACCGCCATCCAGCACGGCTCGCAGAAGGTAGGCAGCTCCGCTGGCATGGCCTCTGCCCCCTCGGGGAGGGCTGGTGATACTGCTTTTGGGGGCGGAAAGCCAGGCTGGGGATAATCTGGGCTCCGCGCCCTCTCCCCGGGGTGCTGCGGAGCAGGTAAGGCGGCAGTTCGGTCTCTAACCCACACAGGCGGCAGCAGTGTCTCCACGGCCGACCGCCTGCCCCTTCCCCGCTCAGTGTGGGACTGCGCGGGATGGGGACCACTCAGCTGCCACCTGCACGGTGTGAAAACCTCTCCCGCATCCTCCCGGCAGCTGGAAAAAACCCACCCAACAAGAAAACGCCAGGGAAATGGTGTCTGTTCCTTCCCATCTCATCCCCTCCCCGTGCCTGTGTTTCCCCAAGCCACCGTTATGTCGTTTTTTTAAAGTCTGGCTCGCCTGCTCCCCTCGGTCAAGGACACCCACACCACCCCCATGCCCCAGCTCTCTGCCGTTGCTCCACCTTCACCCTAATTAAAGTCCCCGGCACCGGCCACGGTGCGACCGGCATGCCCAGCTCTGGCGTCCCTGTGCAGCCGGCGGCTTCGCTCACTCGGCTGGTTTGCCCCGGACAATGGGGCAGCTCCAGCGGCCGTGAGTAACGCCGGCTGCAACCCTTCCGAGCGGAGCCGGCTGGGCAATTCTGCTGACCCGAAAAGGCGCCAAAACCGGCGGGGCCCCTTGGTGCTGCCGAGCCCCGCGGCTCACAGTCGGAAGCCACTGCATCCAATGCAGCCGGGGTTTGTTGCGGAGGTCCAGGTTCGGTTCACCTGTCAAGGAAATAACCCGCTCCCTGAGGCGGTGGGAGGAGGAGGAGGAAGAGGAGGGAATATAAATAGCCAAGGACAGTGGGCTGCACTCGCTCGCCCTGTACAGAGATGCTTTCTGCAGACAAAGGCAGCCTCCTCTTCGGAGGAAGGTGAGGGGCCTCGAGGATGGGGCTGGGGTCGATCCCGCTGTACCCTCGCCTCTTGCTGTGTGGTCGTGTCCTCCGAGGCTCAAATCCCCGAGGGCGTAGCCCACAGCTCCCAGCTTCAGGTGTCCCACCTGGCTGGGACCTGCCTCTCAGCATCAGGCTTCGTTTTTCCCTGCTCTGCTCTTCCCCTTTGCTCCGAGGCAGCATTCAGGACAGGCTCGTTAACCTTTGGCTAAACGAACCGTGTCTGTCCTCACCTCCTGCATCTCCTCTCGCTCCTCCATGGGCCGATGACACCAAGAGGGGACCGACGCCTGCCCCAGAGCTTTGCTGGGGCCAGACCCCAGCCATGAGCAAAACCTCCTGCCTCTGCACCGTTACTAATAACGGTGTTTTGGGGGCAGACGGAGCCCCCCGGGCACAATCCAGGGGATGAGGCGCTGCCAGCATCCCCCCAGCCCCTTCCTCATGAGCCCCCCGAGCAGGGTTGGTCCAGCCAAAGGCTTCTCGGGCGTGCGGTGCCTCTTGCGGTGCTTGGCCCATCCAGGAGAAGAGGCATGTGGCCAGATCCGGCACCCCGAGGGAGCACCCTGTTATTTTGGTACCTAGAAAGCTCCCGGTGGGGCCTGGGGCTGATGAGGAAAGGCAGAGCCCCTTCCCTTCTCCCCCAGCCTCCAGCATCCTCCTCCATGGGGCTGCACGGCCCCGCTGGGTTCAGCCACCTCCCAGCATTCGACTGGACCAAGGCGGCATCGGTGCCAGCCCCTGGAGATCCCCTCCCCTGCCCTCCCCGCGTCCCCTCTGTGTGAGCCGTGTCCCCATCACCACCAGGCATTTCATTTTCATTTTTTTTTATTTTCTTCCCTTTTTTTTTCTTTTTTCTTTTTTTTTCTTTTGTTCTGTTTGTGCTTTGTGTTCCTGTCCGCCTCCCGTCCCACGTCCTGCTCAAAGACCATCGTGCGGGGCAGCAAAGCCGCCAAGGACGGCTCCCTGACCTGGCTGCTGGACGAGTTTGAGAACATGTCCGTGTCCCGTTCCAATTCTCTGCGCAGGGACAGCCCCCCCTTCCAGCCCCGCCGCGACCAGCTCTACCAGGAGAACGGCCTCTCCGAGGGCCCGGCCGCTGCCCGGCCGCACGAGGATGCCAGCAGGAGCAAGGAGAAGAGCCGTCACGGGGCCAGGAGCGAGCTAGAGCAGGGCAAGGAGAGACCCCGGGAGAGGGAGGACCAGCGCGCCCACCACCACCACCACCAGCAGCCCCGCGGGCAGGAACCTGGCCCCAAACCCGCTCCCTCCGCCGGCAGCCGCCCGCCCCCCCCCGAGCACCCC